TTCCTCAAGCAAAACAAAAACAGAAGATTGGCAACAGATGTTAGCCCAAGGGTAATCTTCCTCAGCAAAAAAAAAAAAAAACTTCTCTGCATCAAAGGACACTATCAACAAGGTGAAAAGCAACCCACAGGAGAAGAAATTTGCAAATCGTATATCTGATAAGGGGTTAATATCCAGAATATATGAAGAACTTCCACAACTCAACAACAACGAAAGAAATCAAAAGTAGGCAAAGGACTAAAATAGACATTTCTCCAAAGAAGATATAAACGAATGGCCAATAAGCACATGAAAAGACACTCAACATCACTAATCACTAAAGAAATGCAAATCCAAACCATAACAAGATATCACCTCGCAGGGGCCGGCCCCGTGGCCTAGTGGGTAAGTTCACGTGCTCTGCTTCGGTGGCCTGGGGTTTCGCCGGTTCAGATCCTGGGTACAGACATGGCACCGCTCATCAGGCCATGCCAAGGAGGTGGCGTCCCACATAGCACAACCAGAAGGACCCACAACTAAAATATACAACTATGTACTGGGGGGATTTGAGGAGAAGAAGGAAAAAGGAAAAAAAAGAAAAAACAAGATTGGCAACAGTTGTTAGCTCAGGTGCCAATCTTTAAATAAAAAAAAAGATCACCTCACACTATTAGAACGGCAACTATCAAAAGAACAGGAATTAACAGTTGTTGGCAAGGATGTGGAGAAATTAGAACTCTTGTGCACTGTTGGTGAGATTGTGAAATGGTGCAATCACTATAGAAAATGGCATGGTACTTCCTCAAAAAGTTAAAAATAGAATTCCCATATGATCTGACAATTCCATTTCTGGGTATGTGCCCCAAAAAGCTGACAGCAGGGACCTAGACAGGCATTTGTATACCCACATTGAAAGCAGTCCACGTGTCTACTGACAAGTGAATAGATAAACAAAATACAGGTAAACAAAATACACACGTGGAACAACGTTTCAGTCAACAACAGACCACATATACGATGGTGGTCCCATAAGATTAGTACCATATAGCCCAGGTGTGTAGTGGGCTACACCATCTAGGTTTGTGTAAATACAATCTGATGTTTGCACAATGACAAAATCAGCTAAGGATGCATTTCTCAGAATGTATCCCCATCGTTAAGCAACACATGACTGTATGGTATATACATACAATGGAATGTTATTCAGCCTTTAAAAAAAAAAGGAAATTTTGACACACGGACCTTGAGGACATTATAGTAAGTGAAATAAGCCAGCCACAAAAGGAAAAAAGTTACATGATTCCACTTAGGTCAGGTGCCTAGAACAGTCAGATTCATACAGACAGAAAGTAGGTGGTGGTTGCCAAGGGGAGGGGAAACTAGGGGGTTGTTGTGTAGCGTTTCAGTTTGGGAAGATGAGAAAGTTCTGGAGCTGCATGGTGCTGACGGTTGCAGAACAATGTGGAAGTACTGAATGCCATAGAACTGTAGGTTTTTTTAAGTGAGGATACATGCAGACCCTCGCTACTAATCAGGTAATAAGTACCAACTAAACATTCACTGGGTACTGTGCCAGTGAATTAACTCACTCTGACTGTTTCAACTACTTGTACTAAAAATGAAATGCTTAAACTTACAACTGTGTATTACAGAAACAAGTGGTCAGTGCTAGGGATATATGTTAACAAAGCTAGAATTTTACATAAAATACCCATCTGTTAAAGATACCAAGCATGTGTTTTTGATTTGTATTCGACTCACTCATTGACTAGTGTTCTTTTTCTTTGGGGACTGAAATATGGAAACAATATTTAAAGAATAATTGCATTTTCAATTTCTTATTTGCATATTGCCATCTTGATTAAGATCGCTGCTGCATCCTCAATTAAAAACACATTTACTATAGATTTTCAATCTACAGTACCAAAAAGTTTTGTTTTTAAATATCTAGTTTCTGTCCCTCTAGGCGCTTAAAGAAATTCTAATAAAAAACGGAACTTATCAGAGAAGAGTGATTGGTCCTTGAGAAGTGTATTGTCTTTTCAGAAGGAACCCGTGCAGACACCAGAAACATTATAAAACGTTAATCAGCTTAAACATTTGCTCTGACCAACTTTTTTTGTAGCAGAGCTTTCCCATAGCAATTTCCAATAAGAGACAAGTCAGTCTTTAAGATCGGAAGTGCTATCTTTTGAGTTTTATTTCAAGTATAAATATCCATTTTTAAACAACAATGTTTTTCTGACATTTCCTTTCATGGTGTTATGATGACAGTTAGACGACTGGTGCTCTTGAGACCTATACCTTGTAAAGGGAACAGTGATTGGAGCCAATAAAATAAAGCCAAGTTTGCAACCTTTTTGTTTCTTTGGAGAAAAAATTCTGAATTGTGTTGAGATTAATTTTTTTTTTTTTGATTGGCACCTGGGCTAACAACTGTTGCCAATCTTTTTTTTTTTTTCTGCTTTATTTCCCAAAACCCCCTGGTGCATAGTTGTATATCTTAGTTGCAGGTCCTTCTAGTTGTGGGATGTGGGACGCCGCCTCAACGTGGCCTGACAGGCAGTGCCATGTCCGCGCCCAGGATCCGAACCCTGGGCTGCCGCAGCGGAGCGCGCGAACTTAACCACTCGGCCACGGAGACGGCCCCCTGTTGAGATTAAATTTTGATAGTACATAAGGTGAACTTAGGCCGCAGTGGCAATTTAAGCATATTTAAAGCCTTCTTTTAAGATTTTAACATATTGCTCAGTTTACTGTGGAACAAAATATGTGTAGTATCCTTTATAGCTTGGATATTCTTTTAATCCTTTTTGGAATACTGTAATTTCAGAAGTACTAATATTTAGATTTTTTTGGTAACTTTGGCCACTAGGATCCTAACATCTAGATAGGATCTAAGACTTGGGGTGGGGGGGTCCTTTTTAGGGTATCTAAAAAAGATTGGAAAAAAGTAGAGGTTTGATATTTCTCCCTTTTTAACCATAATTTATTTTCAGATCAGGTAAATCATTGTATCTCAGTTGAGTTATTCTCATGTTATGGTGAAGTGATTTTCCGGGTTAGCAAAGTCACCAAACTACCAAGAGTTAATAAAATGGGAGTATGAGTAATCAAAGCTGAAGTCAGTTAGACAGGGTCTAGAAATATAGGCAAAACATTTTCATAACTATTCCACTTGATACCACATTCACGCTCCTGGGTTATTTTTCAGATTATTAACACTGACTACTCTCAGATGCATCATTACTATCATATCAGTCAGTAGGCGCTGGACTGGTAAAATAGCTTGCTAGGCTAGTAGCATTTACCTACAACGAAATCGATAGATATCAAAATTCAAATGTCTGATGCTACTTCATATGCCTGTTCTTTAGTTTTTCCCCTGGACTGTTTCTCCCCTGTGTGAAAACTGACCCAGAGATAAGTATCCTCATTTCTAAAATATGTACAAAATAAAAGGAAAACAAATAACACAAAACCATATCCCTTAGGGCAGTGATCAGCTGGCCATCTTCTTTTACTTCATGTCAGAGGCTCATTAAGGAGCCAGCTCGCTTAGGGCCATTTGGGGGCAGAAGACAGCCTGGAACAGAAGTGTTAAGACTCTTGCATAAGTCCTTTCTGTTCGTTTGTTTGAAAATGAAATTGAGTATAGCCATCTTTAAAAAGTCAAGTTTTTATATTGTCAACACTTACTAATAATTACTTAAAAGCTGAAATAAATGGCACAATGAAAACAAACCTTAAAGAGAGCCGAAGTGAGCATCCACAGTTAATTGCACTCACACGCACACCATCTCAGCCAGGCGTGAGAGTATGACCTAGTGTGACCTAGCATGAGTAACGCATAGAATTTCCCTTCACCCGCTAAACAGATGTTTATTGAGTAACTAGTAGGTGCCAAGCTTCATATTTCCCGCTGCTAACAGCCCTCTTGAGTTTTCACGTCCTTTATTTAAGGAGGGAAAATACAGTTTGCTATTTTTAAATCCAAATACTTCAACAAGAGAATTGATTTAGATTGTTGTAATGAATTTGAAAGTTGTTCGGGAAAGTGGAAGTGATAAAGGAAGACATTTTTCCTTAAGATAAAGCTAGTAATGGTAAGTCCTAGTAGTAATCAATCTGCAGCATTTAGCTGATTTATTATTATAATAATATCTCTTTCCGGTAAATGAGTACTTAAAATCCACTTAAAGTCGATTGCTCGTGGGACTTCATAAAACCCTGACAAAGCCTTCTGGGGCTTCTTTTGTTAATACATGACTCCAAATTGAGATTCAGGAATTGCTTGGTTTGGCCTGGGTAGCAGATTAGCTTCTTGCTCTAAGTGTGAGGGTACTGTCAATGAAACAGGTCACTCTTATCACAATATAGCCTTCAGATTTTCTCCTGTTGCAAGAAATGGGTGCAGTGGTTAAGGAGGGTACTAGCCAGGTCTGGAGACAGGAACACAAGCATAAGGCACATGTACGGACACCTGCTAGAGTGGGCCTCCAGGAAGTGGGAACTTTCCTACCAGGCACGCCTGACCGTGGATCTGGAGTGTGGGAGAGGGGGTTCATTGGGCCCTGTACTCAAGACTAAAGATCACATTTGAATTAGCCCGGGTTAGTGTAACCTATATGGCAAGAAAATCTCACGAATACCGTGTATTGTTTTGATCATTGTTACAAGAGTCTCAAGACTTTTTTCCTGCCAAAAAGGACAGCTCTTCTGTAGAAACAGCGTCTGTAGGACAGCTCTTCTTTTCTGAGAAAACACTACAGTTTAGTCAGTCTGGCCTTATTTAGCTTTAGCTTTTCATTGCTGTTGGGGCAAAGTACTAAATAATGGCTCTGCAGAGGGAAGCATGGTATTGTACCCTCTGGATCTCAGATATAATAGTGTATTTTTCTTTTGTTTCTTTTCTAGTGGACTTATTAAAAAAAATGAGGTCATTCTCTTATAATTCTGGTTTTTCTGTTTTTACTGTCATTGATTTCACAGACTTGTTCCCTTTCTGCCTTTTCCACCAGTTTACTTCAGCAGTTCCTGAATTCTTGAAAACTCCTACTACGGATCAGCCCCCCACAAGGTCCACAGCTCCTGTCCCCCCCACAAACACTGTGTCCTCAGCAAAGCCTGGGCCAGCACTGGTAAAGGTGGGTACCCTGCACGCACGCTGGTTTGAGTATCTTCACTTGGGACTATTGTCTGTAGCCCTGTGCACGGAAGACAAAAGTATGTGTTCATGTTGCCCAGCCTGACTTCTAGCCTGAAGCCTTGAAAATGAAACCATGGAAGGACTTAGTAGACCAGGACTTGATATTTGAAACGACCACCTTCAACACAGGACCTACTGTTCTATGTTCACAGAAGAACAGCAAAAATTGGGTCTGGAGGGAACTGCTAGAACAGCACAAAAAGGCTTTCGGAGCCATTTTATCAGCAGTTCCTAAGGTGGCTTCCACTCAGACACTAAGACGAAACGAGGGGAGAGCAGAGTCAGTTAGAGCTGCTTTAGCACAGCGTTGAGATTCACGCATCTCACTCACAGATGTCTTCAATGGTGACATGACTTTGGGCTTTATACACAAGGCCAAACTCAGTGGTGTTCCAGATATATTACATGACAGGTTAAAGGTTTTGGAGAAACAAATACTTTTTTTGATTTAGCAGATTTGGCCTGATGAAGCTTGGTTTGTTCTTCAGATAAGCTGCAGATTTGTGGCACTGTTCCCTGAATTTTACTTGGTCAAAATAATTCAGTTAGACTAAGTCCCAAGGAAGATTAAAAATTGTAATATATAGTACATTTTTAAAGTTTTTAAAGTGTATTTTGAACTGCTAAATAAAGAGGAAGGAGGATAAACTGAGGAATAGTTCAGTCATTTCAGGTATGGCTTTGCCAAAACTAGCAGAACACAGATACTAAGCTTTCAGAACTAAAACAGGACATTAGAGAGCCAGCTAACGCCCTCACCGCCTTTCAGATGAGGAGACTGAGGCGGGAAGAAGGGATGAGGCTGGGAAGGACCGCGGTCTAGCCTCCTCTTTGCCTTCTCAGTGAACCCACTGCAGCGCTCTTCACAGGCGGCTAGCCTCGGCCTCTTCCTCACTGCCGTCCATCCACAGGAGCTGGCCTGGTGCTTGGCCTTCCTGGAGAGAAGGCTCTCTTTCTACTCCAGGCTCTCTTTGTCAGTGTGGCCGAGTGTACATGGCTTCAGGGCATCTATCAGTGTATTTCACCATCTTCCATCGCTTAGTATTGGAGCCAGAAATTCCTGAGGGTGGCAAGTGACAACTGTGCCAATAAAATCAGCTCTCAGCTCCTCTTCCCACATCCCCAAGCATGTACCACTAATGGCACAAAGAGGGTTCGAATGCCAACCCATCCTTCCCTGCAGATACTGAATTTCTTCTCTGCCTCTCCTCTCCTCTCCTCTGAATCTCTACTCTTCACTAGTGTCTTTCTTTAAGGAGGACTTTGGTTCTAGGGCAAGAGGCATTGCTTAAGAATGTGAGGTTCAGGGTTTGAGAAGGGAATCCTAGGACTATGCCAGTAGCGGAAAGGACAGGTACATATTAGGAAACAGACCACAATTCTTTGGGTTTTTCTATAAGGAAAGCTATTTCCCATCCTCACTGAGAGACCAGACATGTGGCAGTTAATAGGTAAGAGTAGATTCAGTCTCAGGAATACTAGTATTGTGTTTACCCCCACCCCCTTCAGTAGGTACATTCCTCACCCTGGCTGAATCAGTTGTTTATCATTACAGAACAATTACAGTCAAACCTCCTTACCCCAGCCCCATTCAGTGTTACGATCAGTTTGAAAAGACTAGAAGTAAAATTTATTATTGATGACAAAATAAGCAGATGATAGTGATTTGATTAATATTGTGAGATTGTAGGAGGATGTTTTAGCAGGCAAGAATATTCTCTGACAGTGTGATGTATTTCAAGTGCCTGATAATTCAAGTGATTTCTAATTAGCATGCACATTCATCATTCATTTATTCAACACTTATCACGCACCTTCTCTGTGCCAGGCACTGTTCTGGGTCCTAGAAGTAGATACAGCAGTGAGGGAAACATCACGACTCACCCCCATGGTTAGGAGCGGGCGGTACACAGACGACAGAATACAGAGTACGCCACGTGGGGAAGCAAAAGACGAGGATAGGGGGTGCTGGGGAGGCGTTTCTATTTTAAACAGAGTGCTCTGGTAAAATGAGCAGATGCTGTTTGGGCAGAGACGTGAAGAGGGGAGGGAGGGAGCCATGAGGGTGCCTGTGGGGAGAAAGTTGGAAGTCTCTGAACAAGGAAGCCAGGATGACTGAACAGAGATGGCTGAGGGACAAAAAGTAAATGCTAATAGTGATGACTTCTGGTCTATAGAATATGGTGGTTTTTATTTTCTTCTTTGTCTTTGTTTTTGGGGCTGTTTTGCAATTTCCTAATTCTTTGAATATGAACATATATAACATCACTCCAAGAGCTATATTTAATTTAGTATTTCTCAAAGTCTTCTTATTGTTTACCTAAAGCCCCTTAGGAATAATTTCATGTACCTTGTTGTTTTGTTTTGTTGATGGACTTTTTTTTTCAGATTAACGTTTTTTATAATATGAATACCAAAAAGTAGAAAATGATCTGATAACTTACAAATGGAAGAGAAGAAAAAAACTCAGGAAAAAGTCATCTGATTCTTAATCATAAGACAGGGTCTCACACTATAGTGAAATATACTTAATCTTTTCCCTATTGTATATGTAGTATACAACCTGTTTTTCACTAGGAGATAATATATGTAAGCACTTAGCAGTGTGTCGACACAGGAGACGCACAGTAAATGTTGAATTTAAACAGACAATGCTGAGCTGAGCATCTTGTCCTTACTCTAAGGGAACAATGCAGCAGGAGAAAATAAGTTCTTAGGTGCAAGATTTCTTGGTGAAAGGGAGTACACAAAGGTTTTTATGGCTCTTGAAATGTATTTAGTACATTGCTTTCCAAAGCAGCTATATCACTTTCTAAGATGCATTGCTTTTTAATTTCAAATCATTTAGGCATGCAATAGAATAGATTGCATGTGGTGGCATCTCTTAAAATGTTATTTTCTTTTTCTCGAAAATAGCAAAGCCATCCCAAGAATCCGAATGACAAACACCGTAGCAAAAAGTGCAAAGATCCCAAACCCCGGGTGAAGAAGTTGAAGTACCACCAGTACATTCCACCAGATCAGAAAGGTGAGAAGAACGAGCCACAGATGGACTCCAACTACGCCCGCCTGCTCCAGCAGCAGCAGCTGTTCCTGCAGCTACAGATCCTGAGCCAGCAGCAGCAGCACTACAACTACCAGACCATCCTGCCCGCGCCACTCAAGTACGGTGCTGGGGTCAACGCTGGCTTCCTAAAGGGAGTTTACTGTGGGTGTTTTATGAGGAACCATTAGTTACCAAAGGTTGGATGTTGTGATTTATTTGTGCTCAATGATTATTTTCATTTTATTGTCACCAAGGGTTATCATACAGTGTCTGAAGTCAGCATAGTGAGAATAGCCTGCATTCCAGTCCAGTTTTTGTCCTCCAAAATAGGTTCTGAACTTTTCAAGTTAGAAATGACTTTTCACAATTAGTCATCCAGGAGAGATTTGCCTGTTATTTGCCTGCTATTTACTCAAAAAGTATTAGATGCTATGAGAAAAGCATAAGTACCAGACCTGATATAAACAGTTCACCAAAAAAAAGACAGATAAGCATAAAACCTGGCGTGGTCAAGGAAAGCTTCATGAAAAAGACAGGATATTTATATGGAAAAGGGCCGGAAACCTGGGAAGGGTCCTTCCAAGCAAAGAGAAATGATCTGCATGCAGTACAGAGGAAGGAGTAAGCAATGCCTGTTTATTAGCTGGTGAGAAAAATGGCCTGAATAAAGAATGTGATTAATTTTTAAGAAAAGTGGAAGCCAAAATTGAGTAGAGCCAATGTCTGGAGGAACTTGAAGTTGGGCAGACTATAATTTTGATGTGGTAGATGTTTCAGAGGGTCATAGTGACATGGTAAGAGCAAAATGCAGGAAAGAATAGTTTGATACTGGTATTGAAAGTGATGCAGGGTCGGTGAGCCGAGGAGTCGAAAGAAAGATTTCTTTAGACTCTTAAGATCTGGCAGTAGTGCTCTTTTATTTAGAGAATAGTATAGAATAGCATGGGGACAGGACCCATGGGCAGTCAGAGCTTCTGCTGCCACCGCTTCTGCTGCTCCCGCTGGCATGGGGACAGAGCCCATGGGCAGGCAGAGCCGCTGCTGCTGCCCCCGCTGGCATGGGGACAGGACCCATGGGCAGGCAGAGCTGGTGCGTGGGGACAGGACCCACGGGCAGTCAGAGCTCCTGCTGCTGCCCCGAGTTGAGGGTTAGGGCTAAATTTAAGGCATAGGTATGTGAGTTATCTCTTTACAAGACAAAGAATATGTAAAAAAGTTAAAATGGTATCAGTGCCCTGTTTGGTCTGGCCATTTGGCGGTCCCACAACTTTTAGATAAGAATCAAACCGGATTGAGTAAATGGCAGAAGTCACCGCTTGAATTTTATCCTCGGCTAAAGACAAAGGAGGATTGGTGGGGGGGGGGGGGGGTGGGGGTCAGTTACATGAGGTTGCCAGACAGTAACCAACTTAAGTTCTTGCCTCTGGCATTGATTAAGAGCTTCTAGAGATAAGACCATCCCTCCTTCTTCCTGGCACAGAGAGGGAGGCATCTTCACAGATAGAGGTTTCCCTTAGAAATGTAAATGTTTCCCAACAAAGGGGCAAACAAATTCCACTCCTTGGAGCCTGAATCTCATCTGTAGTTTTAAAACTAACCAGCCTAAAAATCCTCATCATAAGCCATTTTAAAATTAAGCAGCCTAAAAATCCTCATCAAAAGGGAGTCTGGAAATAGGAAAACCAGTTACAAATATTGCAGTAAATTGGATATGAGAAGATGAAAGGGCGCTGATAATGGAAAGGAAGGAACAGGTGATACATGTTTGAAAAGACAATGAAAGGTCTTGGTGACCGACAGCTGTGAAGAAGGAACACGTTTCCAAAGTTTGAGCCTAATCAGGAGAGACAGAAGGGAGTGAGTTTAGATGATTTCTGAGATTGAATTCATAGCAAGACGTCCACAACTAATTTTAATTATGTGACAAAGGAAATTTCTAGATATACATCCTCAATATGGTTTTTCTGGGAAACAGATAAAAATGCAAACACTCTGTTCACTTTTCAGGAGAAAGGGATATTTACATTCAACTCGAGAAAAGAAACTCTAGAAAGAGATCTAGAATCTCATTACAAGGAAAGACTATTCTCTGTGATCAGGCCACTCAGTTTATGATCATGTGATCTGTAGAATCTTTACTTTTGTTTTCTACACGTAGGCTAAGCCTTCCTCCAAAGGGAGCCCCTGTTTTCTAGGAGTAGAAAAGGATTAAAACCCACTAGAAAGCTTCTTTGTTAAGAAATGTCTCTTCATATGCTAATGATTATCAATTCACTTTTTTTCTTTAAGATCCAAATATCTTGAGGAAGATAAGACCTATTAGTCATTCAGACCTTACTGTGAAGTACTTAAATCTAAAACATCAGGGCACAGAGATGAAGAAAGAAAGAATTTTTGCAGCATGTTATTATTTTAAGAGCAAGCAGGCCTGAGTGAGCTGTTGACATTGGAAGGGAACCAGGGGAGGCCAAGGAGAATTGGAAGAGCATCAGAGACCGTCTGCCGCTGCTCACAGCTCTACCTAGGACCCAGGGAGGCATCCTCCACCGCCGCCCTCCTCTGGCTTGGGCACCAGCCATGATGGCTCACATTTCTGTGCGCCTTACCATGCACCACGCAATGTGCTCAACACCTGACATCACTGTCATCCTCATTCCCATTCCCAGATTAGGGGCTGTTAAACTGAAACCCCACACAAGGGCTTTTGTATTGCATCTATCTATGAAATAGTCTTTTCTGTCATGAAGAAACTGGCTGTGTGGGGCCAGCTTCGTAGACAGGAAGAATACGTCTGAGGGGTGCGGTATCTGAACTCTCGCAGTTCCCTGTCTTTCCCCGCTCCCTCAAAGATTCCCACCACTAAAGTACCTAAGACATTCACCTAAGGAAAACAGCATACAAAAAGGCCCGGGAATGAGGAGGAGGAAAGATCTTTTATTTTTGTATATTATTTCACCACGCAGAGACTGAGCATAAGTTTGGTTTAATTTCTAGGTCCTGAAAATGGAGATGTTGTTTTCTAACACACTGTTTCTTTTTAACAAAATCCCAATACAAGAGCCTGAATGTGGAAGCCTCCAGTGCCCGCAGTAGAGGGACTACCTGATGAGGCAGCCCTTAGGTACCCTGGAGAGAGCAAGAGCCTGAAAACACGGGGCTTTAGTCCCAGTGAGGCCACACAAGACAGAGGGTCCCGAAGGTCACCTCATTACTCTGAACTTCAGGTTTCTCATCAACTCAGTGATCACGTTCATCAGGCCACCCCCCCTGTTTTTTCCTCTTGATTTGGGGAAAAAAATAGATCAACTTATTTCTGTTATTTTAAAGGTTGAATTCAACACTGATTAACATGTTAATCATATAACAAGTAACGTGTTGTAGAATCTCAACCAAAAGACAGCATGGACAGAGTAATGTAAATCAGGCGTTTTCAAGGAGACAGTATCATTCACCAGGCGGCAAAGGTTGATGGGGGGCTCTTGCACAGACGTACATACAGGACACAACTATGGTATTAAAATGTTGTGGGGAGGGTGGTTAGGAAAAAAGATGTCTAAAAAGGCTCCTTGGGAGGACAATAATGAAAATAAGGTAGAGAAACTCTGATTTAAATAAAATGTTTTCATTAATTCTAACATGAGATTTAAGAATTGAACTTTTAGAAAGGAGAATAATGATACGTACAATATTTGTCATTTCATCCAAACTTCAAGAAACTTCATCTCAAATACTTCAAGTACTTAATTTCAACAAAATTTAGGCAGGTTTAAAAAGACCCCAAATTGAATGTCAAGAGTTAGTGGTTGACAAGGCCAGAACTGGCTTCAAACACAGGCTTCTTAAAACTCATTTGACAAAGCTCATCTAACTATGGGCCTCACCCCATAAGCATCATCACCTCAGATCCCTATTTCAGAATGTAGAATTCCCTATTTGAATGTAGAATTCAAAGTCTCTTTGGCTTCAGCCCCAAGATTTCTATGACTAAAGCCTGAGACTATAATGGAATTGGCTATACACTATCAGCCATCACGTGTACCTTTCTTTAATAGGTATCAACCACTCAGAAAAGAAAATGCCATTGTTGCCAGGAGTATCACAGTCTGAAGAAGTTAGGTGGGGACCTGGGGTTGATGTGGAAAGGAATGTAGGGAAATTAGTACAAAAGTACAGCTGATTCACCAACATTTTTTAAATAAGCTTTTAAAAATGAAGTATAAGTGACAGAGAAGTCCATAAATCATAAGTGGAAATTGATGCCAAGGTAAACATACCCCTGTAACCACCACCTAAATCAAGAAATGAAACATTATTATACCCCAAAAGGCCCCCTTGTGTCCCCTCTCAGTGACTATCCTGACTTCTGTCCCATAGATTAGTTTTGCCTGTTTTTGAACTTTATATAAATGCAATCCTACAGTACACATATGTGTCTGGCTTCTTTGCTCAACATTATGTTTGTGTGACACGTCTTTATGGTGCCGAGGCAGCAGTTATTTTTTTTTTTTTTTAAAGATTTTATTTTTTTCCTTTTTCTCCCCAAAGCCCCCCCCCGGTACATAGTTGTGTATTCTTCGTTGTGGGTTCTTCTAGTTGTGGCATGTGGGACGCTGCCTCAGCGTGGTCTGATGAGCAGTGCCATGTCCGCGCCCAGGATTCGAACTAACGAAACACTGGGCCGCCTGCAGCGGAGCGCGCGAACTTAACCACTCGGCCACGGGGCCAGCCCCCAGGCAGCAGTTATTTTTATTGCTGTCTAACATTCTATAATTTGTCCACCCATCATACTCTTGATGGACAGTTGGGTTGCTTCCAATTCAGGCTATTAAGTATAACGCCATAATAAATATTCTAACCTGTGTCTTTTGGTTCACATATGCATTTCTTTGTCAGGTGTCTGTCCAGGAATGGAATTGCTGGGTCTGGGGATAGGCATAGGTTTTTCTTTAGTAGATACTATGAAACAGTTCGCCAAAGTGGTTGTGCCAGTTCACACTTCTACCAGCTGTGTATGAGAGTTCTGGTTGTCCCAGAACTTGGCGTCATCAGTCCTCCTCGTTAGAGCAGCAGTTCTGCGTGGTTACGCAGTGCTGTCCTGTGCTTTGCATTTTCCTAAGACATATTGAGGTTAAGCACCTGTTCACATATTTATTGACTATTTGGATATACTTTCTTGTATATATTTGCTTGTTTACATATTTACTGACCATTTGGATATACCTGATCAAGATTTTCCCATTGGGTTTTCTTTTTCTTACTGATTTGCAAGACTTCTTTGTATATTCTAGATATGAGGCCTTTCTCAGAAGTATGTATTACAAATATCTTCTCCTGTGTCTTGACTTTTTACCTTCTTAAAGGTGTCCCTTTTAGTTGGAGCTTTTTGTGTCCTGTTTAAGAAATCCTTGCCTACCCAAAGGCCGTGAAGATATGATCCCAAGTTTTCCTCTAAAAGCTTTATTGTTTTCCTAATTTACATTTAGGTTTTTGGGATGATGTGAGCTCGGGGTCAATCAAAAGCCCCATTTTTTTCTGCATGAATATCCAGGTTGGCCCAGCACCACCCTTTCTCCACTGCACTGCAGAGTTATCTTTGTCATAACTCAGGAGCCTTTGTATGTGGGGGTCTGCTTCTGGATTCTCTGTTCTCTCCCTTCTCTTGTTCTGTACTAGCACCACGCCATCTTAATAACTGACTGTGTAATAAATTTTTATATCTGATGGTATGACTCTTACAACTTTGCTTTTCTTCTTCAAGGATGCCGTGGCCATTCTTGGTCCTTTGCGTTTCCATATAAAGCTTAGAATCACCCTCTAAATTTCTACTAAGCAAGCAAGCAAACAGACACAATTCACAGGGATTTTTGTTGGGATCTAATTTTACTGACATCTTTAAAATATTGAGTCTTCCAATCCATGGCCATGGTCTTTTTCTCTTTGTAAGTTAATGAATTGTTAGCAGAAGCAACATCAAATCTAGGAATTATCTTATTTTAAACTCTAATTTTCTTTTTCTTTTGAAGGCCACTCAATGACAAAAATAACAGTGGGAGTTCAGCTTTGAACAATGCCACACCTAACACAGCAAGACAGAGCGCGTGCGCTCCTGGGAGGAAGCCGGGACCTCTGCCTTCTAGCCTGGATGACCTAAAGGTGATGATTCTGAGTGCAGTCTACTTACCACAGACTGGACACACCGCACGATGCAAACGCTTTGCCAGATTGCCTAGCACGTGTAGGCAGCTCTCAGTAGACATTCAACTTTACCAACAATATGATAATCTTTATAGAGGTGCTTTCTTCTTACGTCCGTTAAGTTTCTTTTATTTATTTATTCTTATTATTTGTGTGTGTGTGTGTGTGTGTGTGGAAGATTAGCCCTGAGCTAACATCTGCTGCCAATCCTCCTCTTTTTGCTGAGGAAGACTGGCCCTGAGCTAACATCCATGCCCATCTTCCTCCACTTTATATGTGGGACGCCGCCTCAGCGTGGCCTGTCAAGCGGCGCCATGTCTGCACCCGGGATCCGAACCAGTAAACCCTGGGCCACCAAAGCGGAACATGCGAACTTAAGTGCTTCGACACTGGGCCAGCCCCAAGTTTCTTTTAAAATGACCGGTATAACTCTCATTTATTGAGCATATACCTTGTGCAGGCATCATACTGGGTCAGACTCCAGAGGCAGATTTTTTCTTCCCTGCTCATTGCCAAGTTTGGGAGAGGCAGGAAAATGCAACAGAACGTGATCTCCAGGGCCAGCCTTCCTGGGTTTCTACCCCAGCTCAGCCTTCTGTCATCTGTGGTAGCTTGGACTAGTGATTCAGCCTCTCTCTGCCTCCATCTCCTCATCTGTAAAACAGGAATAATAATAATGCCTGCCTTGTGAAGACTGATGGAAAGAGTAAAGCACTTCCAGTGATGTCGGGCACATGGCAATCACGCAGTAAACGTAGCTGTTATCGTTATCATTTCTCGTAGTAAATCTTTTCTTTGATATAACAGAGGAATTACATTTTAAAAACTCTTGATTTATCACTGGCTTTCAAGTTCTTAGGTCTGTAGCTGTGTTTGTGTGTGTTAAAAAAGGAAAAGAAATGGTCCCACTCTCAGATATGCAGTAATGCAGAGTTGTCTGGCAGATCTAGGCACCTTTTCCATCATAAAATGTCCTGTAGATTTGTCAGAAAGTTGAATCCCAAAAGGAGAGATCTGATTTGTTTATACTTCCAGGTGTCAGAACTGAAGACAGAACTGAAGTTGAGAGGTCTTCCAGTGTCCGGCACCAAACCAGACCTCATCGAACGCCTGAAACCCTACCAGGAAATGAACAGCAGCAGCGTAGCCGCTAGTGGCATCGTGGCAGTGTCAACATCTGCCATCGTCACTAGTAACCCAGAAGTCACCATGGCATTGCCAGTTACAACACTACATAACTCTGTGACCAGCTCAGGCCCCACTTTCAAGGCAGAATTGCCCTCTGCTGGAACCAGCAACGTAGCCCATGTTGAAAGCATTAATTCCCCTCTGCCAATCTCGCCGTCTCCCTCTGAACAGTCCAGTCTCAGTACCGAGGACACGAGCATGACGGACACTTTCACCGAGATTATGACCATGATGTCTCCTTCACAGTTCTTGTGTTCGTCTCCTCTGAGAGTGACAAATAATGAAGACAGCCTAAGTCCCACCAGCAGCACCCTGTCAAATCTGGAACTGGATGCAGCCGAGAAGGATCGCAAGCTTCAGGAGAAAGAGAAGCAGATCGAAGAGCTAAAGAGGAAACTGGAACAAGAGCAGAAGCTCGTGGAAGTTCTGAAAATGCAACTTGAGGTTGAAAAACGAGGGCAGCAGCAGCAGCAGCAGCAACAGCGGCCGCTGGAACTCCAGCCCAGTGCACCCGCTAATTCTGCCCATAAATTAGATCAGAAACATGGCAGTGTTGCTTCCTCCATCAAAGACGAGACCGCGCTCACTGACTGCTCCAGCTCCAGGCAGCCCGTCTCAGTGGCCAGCCATTCTGTAAGCCAGCCTGTCTCCACGGGTGGCCAGACCCTTGTTGCCAAAAAGGCTGTAGTGATCAAGCAAGAGGTCCCCGTGGTCCAAGCAGAGCAGCAGAGCATCGTCCCGCAGTTTTATGTGAGTTCCCAGGGACAGCCGCCGCCTGCCATCGCTCAGCCTCAGGCTTTACTGACCACGCAGACTGCTCAGCTGCTGCTCCCAGTGTCCATCCAGGGCTCGAATGTCACCTCAGTGCAGCTCCCAGTAGGCAGCCTCAAACTCCAGGTGTGAAGTGTGTCTTCTAACTCCCTTGCCTTAGAGCCTGCACAGAATGGAAACTGCTAATGACGAATCCCCGAGCTTTTTCATAAATGCAGGCTTCACGGTGGCAGAAACTTGTGCCGGGTGGGGGGGGGGGGTGATTCAGAAATTTGAATAGCGCTGTTTTTATATAGTAAGAACAATGAAAGGGTGCTTTTCCTTTAATGAACACAGCATCATATATGTAGACATTTTTAAATACCAGTGACATTAGCATAATAGCGACTGTCATTGAGTACTTCTTATGTGCAAAGCATAGCATCAGGTACTTCAAATGGCTTCCTTCATGTAATCCTGCCTTCCCCTAGAAGGGCCAAGTGATGGAGCCCATTTCTAGATAAGGAAACTGAGGCCTCGAGAGCTTCAGTAGGTTGCTCAAGGACAGAGCTGGCATTTAAGCCCAGGGCTTCTGACTGCAGAGCTTCTATTCTTACGCTCGTTCCTATATTCTGCCTCCCAAGTGTAGTTCTTGAAAGGCAGCATTAATGTGAAGATGCCTAAACTAAGGAAAATGTGGCCACAAATTTAGGAGTAAGCATGTTATTGAGAGACGATCAAACACAGGTGAGCATGCCATTTCCTTTTATGCCTCTGCAACCTACGTATTGACCTTAAGTTGTTTTATGTAACACAATGTCAGTAGGTTAACAAAACGTGGGCCACAAGTAAACAGAAACCATTTGGAGCAGTGCTCAACCTTGCCCACCCAGCTACCCTGCTGGCAGAGAGGAGGAGTCTTGTACCTGCAGTTAGGAGACATGAGGCTAAGGCCCTTGGCACAGGCAAGAATCCTAATTCCCCCATTTATCTGTAGAGTGTCTGTGAAATTGAAGGCCTACTCTGTAATGCAGCTTTTCTAAACATTTCCATTCCATCCAAAGCTTCCATTAGAGTTGATGTTCTCGGAACAAGAACTGCATTTTTTTTTAATTTTCTTTTTCCTTTTTCTTCCCAAAGCCCCTGGTACATAGCTGTGTATTTTTAGTTGTGGGTCCTTCTAGTTGTGGCACATGGGATGCCGCCTCAGCATAGCCTGGTGAGTGGTGCCATGTCCTTTCCCGGGATCCGAACCGGCAAAACCCTGGGCCGCTACAGTGGAACGCGCAAACTTCCTCGGCCACGGGGCCGGCCCCAAGGACTGCATTTTATTCTGGGCCTGTGTGTGCCCCAGCACACGGCTGGCGGTCCCCAGACAGTGCACGTACTGCGGCTGAGACGCAGGCATTTGGACAGTTAGGTCTCACAGACTTCCTTGCTGCTATTAAAATTATTATAACACCTGACCTATATGTGTAGAGCTGCTATAGGTTCTTTTTATTTCAGTTTTCTATTTTCTCAGAATTTTCAAATGAAAATCTTAGCTACTTAAAAAAATAATAAGAGCATGAAAATAATTGGTGTTTAACTCTCTGGTTTACAATTGTTACAGTCACGTTTACGTGCCGATGAATTAAAATATGTATCTGTAAACATTTTATCTTATTTCAGATATGATTCCCAAGTGACCAGTTATTCACATCTAAACCCTTGATTCTAGCTTTGATTTTGACAATTAAATTGATTCTTTTTATTTGCCTCCTAGACTCCACCACAAGCAGGAATCCACACTCAGCCTCAGATAGCAACTGCTGCCTTGTCCTCGGGCTTGGCCCAGACTGCACCCCAGAAACAAGATGCTTTCACGCCGCATGTGCTCAGTCAGTCTCAGCAAGTCAGAAAGGTTGGTGAATTGCTAACGAGTGACAGACTCTTGGTTTTTACTGTTATCTGCTCAGGCCTTCGACAAGCGTCTCCACGGGGGCCTCCTCTGTGGGGAGCTCGAGTTTGTTCTTTGTGATCCATCTCCCATCGGATGAGCCTCGGGTCAGATGCCATTTGGCTACAGATTATCCAGTTATCCAGGAAAGAGAAAGAGTTCTTTCTTACTCAAAGGTAGCTCATCTTAACAGTTAAACCCCTTTTCCAAGTAAAAGTTTAAAAAGTATCTTTTTAATCCTCATATATAGAATTTTCTGGGTATTAAAATAAATCTTTTCAGTTTAATCATTTGGGGCGCAGTGCTGTGCCCTGGGAAAAGATATTTGAAGATGAAAAAGATACTTTCTGAAATGTTTATCTGAGTAAGATCTTTCTATATATTTTTTAAGAGTTTGCCATCTCACGGATCAAGAGCCAGAAGGCCTGGGTCTGGTTATGATTCTGGTTCACCACTTCCTACATGTTGGGCCTTGTGCAGAATTCGCTTACTTTCTCTAAGTGTCAGTTTCCTGACCTAGGACCCATTGTCCTCTACATGAGTTCCCGCCAAAGAGTTCTGATGTTCAATAGCCCCTGTCACCAAAATTCCCTCTTATCCAGTAGGTGGAGCTACATGCACATCTCCTTGCCAGAAAAATCTTAAGGCCTCAAAAACAGGTCTTACTATTTTAAACCTTGAGAATTATTAGTCCTAGAATTTTAATCTTCAGCATAAAAAAACCTAGATAATTAGCTGTGCCTGTCAATATGCCTCAGGGTAGTGTGAACTGTCTGAGAACAGACAGAAACAACTTCTTGGATCAACAATGATCACATTAACACAGGTGCTCTCTTTTGGAATCTCCTCTGAGAAATGCAGGGAGCAATGAGTTAGAGTTGCATATTGCTTAGTTTGGGCTCAAAAGAACATTTTAGTGTGGTGATAAGCTTAGTGAATAGTCAAATGTTAAGACAGTTTTCTTTGTTTTAGAGAGGAGAGAGAAAAATAATAGGATAAATAAGGGCTTATTTGCTAAGTCTCAACATAATAGAATTAGGAATCATTATTTCCAATTTAAAAGAAGAAATTTTTCTACCAAATGTAAGGAAATTCAACTTTTTCAAAGAGGAGAAGTTCTGCTTTGAGGATATAAACACACGTACATACTTTCATGCTTAAGAAATACTTATGTATATTTATAATAAAAATATAGGGGATAAGTTTCACTTTCAGAATACTAGTGGTATGAAGTATATTAAACATTTTTATGTGCAAACCAGTTCTGTGAAAATATCAACATTATGGCCATACATTTGTAAAAGGCCTAAAACCTTTGGCTCTTAATGGGGCTAAGCAAGGAAGAAATTCTCACCCCTGCCTAACAGAGCAGAAGACAGCTTCTCAAAAGGGGGCAGATTTTAAATGGGGTCTTGCAACGATTTGGAGACATTTTCAAGTAATTGTAAAATTGAGTGTGGCTATGGCATGTGTAGCCTTTCAGTAGGATGGGAAGAGGGCCAAGTAGTAAGGTTTACACACCAGCCAAAGATTAGGATTTTACCCAAAGGACAGAAGGCTTAATGAGTGTGGAGGGATTCGACCAGGTGTCTGGTAAGACTAATTGTGGTGGGAGGTTGATGGGCAGGGAGGCACAGCCAGGCAGCTAGGGCAGCATCCCAGTGATGGAGTGAGGGCCTGCATTAGGACAGCGGAGAACAGAGGCCTCATTCAAGAGGCCTTTCTACGATGTGTGAGCAAAGAGGGGAGAAAGCAGGGTAGACTGATGGCTCCATTTAGGTAAGTTGTTTTTTTAAATGAAGGCAAAACCAAGAATATTTTCCTTTAGAGGCTGGGGGTGGTGGGAGGAAAGGGGAAAGTTTAGTTTGGAATATATTAAATTTGAGATGTCCCAAATTTATGTTTGTAGATGTTGTAAATGTGTCTTTGGCACTTGGGAGCAAGGTTGGAAGACAGAGGTGGGCTTGCGGATTATTCGCTTTATCGTGAGCATTAAAGCCGCAAGAGATGAGATCACCTGTGAGGAATATAAGAAATTCAGCTGTGCTTTAAGAGGAAAATTATATGGAGCAAACGCTGCTTTCCCATGCAGCACTGTCCACACTGTCATCAGAGACAAGCCACTGAGTAAAGGGACCACTGACACTCGAAAAACCATGCAAACCATGGCCTATGGGCCAAACCCAGCACCCGCCTGGTTTTATAAATAATTTTCTTGAAGCCCAGACACACTCATCCGTTTACTTATTGTCTAGGCTGCTTCTGCGCTGCAGCGGCAGAGGTGAGCAGTTACAAGAGACCACGTGGCTCACAAGCCCTACGCCAGATCCTCTGTGGCCCTTTACAGAACATTTGCCAGCCCCTGTTCTAAGGTGTCTTTATTAGGAAGAGCAAAAGAACAAATTGATGGGAAAATATTGATTCATTACAGGTGTTCACAAACTCGGCCTCAAACACAGTCCTTCCGTACCAGAGAGCACCTGCCCCGGCAGCCCCGCAGCCCTTTATTAAGAAGACTTCCAACGGCGCTCCTCCATCCAGAAATGCGCCGCTTCCGTCCCTGCACAACGGGCCCAGCACGCCCAGCAAGGTAATCCCACGAGGGCTGCGCGGTGACACCGCTGCTGAGGTACAGCCACGCCAACGCCCCGTGCTTTCGGCTTGGAGGGACCATCAATACTACTGGGGTGACACAGCAGAAATACCGCCATGGTAATTGTTAAGGGGCAGCTTAGCTCTTATCGCAGTGCGGATGGCCCTTCCCATAGGAGATGGCCCGCCAGCGCTGCTGGCCTCACAGGTCTTAGGTCATGAGCCTCACTGGCTCAGGAATCCCATGATTTGGCTGCCGTCTGAGGAACAGCAGAGCTAAGGCCAGCCAGGGCACAAGGCAGTCTACTGCCCAGAGCTAACACGTCTTCCTCCTCTATTCGCCACAGCCTGGGTCGCCCCCTCCACCCCAACAGTTTGTCGTCCAGCACTCTCTCTTCGGGAGCCCTGTCCCCAAGACGAAAGACCCTCCCCGCTATGAGGAGGCCATCAAGCAGACGCGCAGTGCCCAGTCCTCCCTTCCGGAGGTAAGTGTCATCTTCAAATTGAATCCCTGGTCTAAGATGGACCTGCCTCAAGAGAAACACAAATTTCATGGCTAGGAGCCTTGCTTCCATCTTAAATGCTATTTAAAATCAAAGTATCATTCACTGTGAAGACTCTCAGACAGTTCTCGGCAGCTGTTAGCTGAAGTTCCTCGGGAGTGGGTCACGGTTATCCATAACATCGGGTTATGTGAGGGACAGATGCGACTGTGACCAGGGCACATATTTTATACAGGTCCCTCTTTGCTAAAGCCGCTATTTGTCAGGCCGGCATCAAACTGACCCTCTGCTGCTTGGCTGGCCTTCAAGACTGCCTAGCACCGACTCCACTCTGACCTGCTCAGCTTGCTCTAGTCCTCAGTACCCTCTGCTCCGGCAGGCCAGCCCCTGCAAGCAACTTTGCTCATATACTGAGCAAATGCACTTTGGAGGGGACAAACCTGAGGCCCTCCTGGCTCCACCACACACCAATACCCACCTGGAGACCATGTGGTCTTGGGCAAAGTGCTCACCTCTCCTCTGAGCCTACCTTGTCGCTTTGACAAAATAGGAGGAGCTGCACCTATTCCGAGAGATGGAAAAGTTAGAGCTCCTGTCTGTAAAAGCCTCTGGTGCGTGCCCAACGACGGCAGCCTTGTCACATCTGACCCTAAACACTCCTCCTAGCCTCCCTGCCTATCTAAAGCTTATTTCAAGGAAGAGCCCCTCATAAGGGGATGCAGGAAGCAAACCTGACGACAAGACATAGCCGATCAGAGCAAGACTGTCTAGTACCCACAGCAAACAGCGGGAGCACAGTTGTGCCAGTTTCCCTTGCTCCCATATTCCCTGGAATGACTCACTAGGGCCCACGGGGCGCTGCGCATGCAGTGGGTTGTGCAGGGCCAAGGGCACAGCACTTCTGCAGCGGACAGGCCAGTTCCCTCACCAGGGAATGAGCATAGCCCTGCTGTGGTCACCTTGACCTACTTAGGCACCGCAGTGAGCAGCTGCAGAAACCGCTCCGTACCAGGCAGCAGTGTGCAGTGTGGCACACTCAAAGGGCACGCAGGGACGCTCAGGGCAGACTGCATCCCTGAGCAAGTGTACAGTTACCATGTGCTGCTTCACAGTCACTTAATGCCGAAGGAAAAGAACTTTTCCAGTTGTACAATGTCCCTGTAGGTCTAGACTCAGCAGGGGTCCTTATCTGTGATGGAAAAGCCACATTTCAGAAGTTAAACATTTGCAATAAGAATTGAAACAAATGGTGCCAGGCTGGACTGTCCTCCCCACTGGCCTATTCAGAAGTGACATCTATTCTCTTCACAGGAGAGCAGAGATGAATTGCCAAGAACTTAACTACAACTTTTAAGCAAATGAAAAGATAGCTGTCATCCTTCCAAACCTGGTTGTCATGTGCAGGTTAATATGGACCGCTTAGTTGATTTATGTGACAACAGACACATCATCTCACTTTAACCTAAGACAGCTGATTGGAATCCCTGCCATTTACCTGTCTCTGGTTCGTGTTTATAGACTGAGGCAGCCAAGTTCTACATTAGTTCTGGTATTCTAATGAGTGGCTATCTGTAGTACCTCTTTATATGCCATTGAGCACCAAACTCCAGGAATTCTGAGGTTTTTAATATATCTTCCAAGTCCAATACTGGCTAAGTACGGCCCTACCAGTCCAGTCTTCCCACAGACACCAGCTATAAAGCCTGGTCATAATAGGAATGAAGGCACTGAAGAGTGAATAGAAGCGGTCATATTATGATGAGGAGTCCATACAGGGAGTTATATGGCATGAGTTTCCTCTTTTTGCTGCTTTTACTCTGGGGTAAAGTGGTAGTTACTGGTAGAAAAACCATAGCCCTTATGGCCTGGGAAACCAGAGGACTGAGTCAAGAGCAACCCAGAAGGGAAAGAACCAGAAAGGAGATCCCCAAATTCTGTCTTCCCACATCTCTGGCTGACCCCTAAGCCGCTAAGCCCTAGGCCCTAAGGAATGGCATAGAGACATAGCAGTTCAGTTAAAAACAAAAAATCTAAACTGAGATTGGAATTTCTGCCCAAGAAACATTTTGAAGGTCAAGTCCAACCAAGTTAAACATTTGCCTACTAAAACAAAAGAAACACTCCTCTGAAAAAAATAGCAGAATGCAGTCTCCATAACAGCCATTCATAACATGTAATATACAAAGAATCAGGAAAATGTGACCCTTTACTCAAGGGAAAAGAGCAGTCAGCTACAACCAGCCCCCAGCTGATCCAGATGTTAGAATTTGCAGACGGGGATTTTAAAACAACAATAATAACTATCCTCAATAATGTAAAAGAAAATATACTCCTATTGAATGAAAAATATAGGGAATGTAAGCAAATATAGAACTTTTTAAAAAATCAAATGGAAATTCTAGAACTAAAAAATATAATTTCTGAAATGAAAAAAATTATAGGTGATCTTAGCAGAATGGAGATGGCAGAGGTAAAAAAAAAAAAAAGTCAATGAACTTGAAGATAGATCAAAAGAACTTATCCAATCTGAATAACAGAGAAAAAAAGATTTTTAAAAAAGTGAACAGAGCCTCAGAGACCCGTTATTTAACATCAAACAATCTAACCTGGGTGTGATAGGAGTCCTTGAGGAGGAGACAGAGAATGAGGCAAGTAAAATATTTTAAGAAATAATGGCCAAATTTTTCACCAATATGCCGAAAGACAAGTTACAGCTTTGAGGTGTTTAATCAACACTGAGCCAGATAAATAGAAAGCCTAGTCATATCACAGTCAAGTTATTGAAAGCCAAGGTTAAAGCCAATCTTGAAAGCATCAAGAGAAAAGCAGTACAAGACATGCCAGGAGCAACTATTTGATTTACAGTCAGCTTTTCATCAGAAACTGTGGAAGCCACAAAAGAGGGGAAAAACATCTTTAAAGTTTGTAGAGGGAGGAGGAGATGGGAGGGAGGGACTGTCCCCCCAGAATTCTGTATCAAGTAAAAATATCCTTTAAGGGGGTGCTGGCCTGGTGGCATAGTGGTTAAGTTTGTGCACACTGCTTCGCTGGCCCAGGGTTTGCCAGTTTGGATCCCAGGTACAGACCTACACACCGCTCATCAAGCCATGCTGTGGTGGCGTCCCACATACAAAATAGAAGAAGATTGCCACAGATGTTAGCTCAGCGACAATCTTCCTCACCAAAAAAAAAAAATATATATATATATATATGTATCCTTTAAGAATGAAAGTGAATAGAGATCTATTTTCAGATCAGGAAAAAAAGATAATTCATCACCAGAAAACCTGTGCTATGAGAAATAACCTTGTCTTGATGGGTTTATAAAATATATAGATATAACACTTAAGGATAGAGGAAATAAATGGATCTATGTGTTCAAGGGTTTTATATTTTATATACAATGGTACAACATTAAGTAGACTATGAAAAATTAAGAATATGTATGTACACCAACAGTAACAACTTAAGAAGCATAGCTTTTTTTTCTCCTGAGGAAGAGTCACCCTGAGCTAACATCTGTTGCCAATCTTCCTCTTTTTGTATGTGAGCCGCAGCAACAGCATGACTGCTGACAGGCGATTGTTGTGGGTACGCACCCGGGAACCAAACCCAGGCTGCCGAAGCAGAGCACGCCGAACTTAACCATTAGGCCACTGGGGCTGGCCCAGAAGTATAGCTTTTAAAAAACAGAAGAATTAGGGCTGGCCCGGTGGCGCAGCATTTAAGTGCGCACGTTCCACTTTGGCGGCCCAGTGTTCACCGGTTCGGATCCAGGGTGTGGACACAGTATTGCTTGGCAAGCCATGCTATGGCAGGTGTCCCACACATAAAGTAGAGGAAGATGGGCATGGATGTTAGCTCAGGGCCAGTCTTCCTCAGCAAAAATAGGAGAATTGGCAGCAGATATTAGCTCAAGGCTAGTCTTCCTCAAAAAAAAAAAAAGAAAAATTAAGTTAGAATTCCAAAAAGAAATTAATGTATGTTTTTAAAAGGACAAGAAAGGAGGAACAAAAAACAGATAGGACAAATAGGAACAATACAATGGTAAACCCAAACTTAACCATATCAATGATTACATAAAACACACTAGTGGAGTAAACAATACCATTAAAATGCAGAGATTATCAGAATGGATGGAAAGCCTGACCGAACTATATGAGTGTGGTGGTTTTAAGATTTGTCTGCATATTCTTTGACATTCCTCCCTGGGTTGGACTCAGTGACTTGCTTCCAGTGCACAGAATGGGCAGAAGTGATGGCGTGTGACCTCTGAAACAAGGTCTGTCAAAGGCATGCCCCTCCTGCCTTGCTCTCTCTTGTATTTCTGGCTCTGGGGAGAGCCAGCTGTCGTGCCACGTGGACAGGCCAGCAGCCCTCGGGAGAGGCCCATGTGGACAGGAACTGAGGCCTCCATCAACAACCAGCACCACCTTGCCAGTCAGCTAGTAAGCCACCTTTACAGGAACGTTCTCGAGCCAGGCCTTGAGATGGCTGTGACCTGGCCGACGTCTTGACTGCAGTCTTATGAAGACCCCAAGCTAGAACTACCCATCTAAACCATTCCTAAATTCCTGACCCACAGAAACTGAGAATAATTGTTTAGTTTTTTAAGCCACCAAATTTTTTGAAGTAATTTGTAATACAGCAATAGATAACTAATGTATGTATCTTCAAGAAGAATACTTTAAATACCAAGACATAGGTTGAGAGTAAATGGGTTGGAAAGATTTGCCATACAAACAGTAAGCATAAGAAGTCTAGAGTAGGCAAAAGATTTGAAGAGACATGTCACCAAAGAAGATAAAAAGATGGAAAATAGGCACATGAAAGGGTGCTCATTGTCATTAGGGAAATGCACATAAAACCACAATGCAATACCACTACACACCTATTAGATATCTAAAATTAAAATGACTGACTATACCCAGTGTTGAACGCAGAGCGACTGAAATCCCATCCATTGTTGGTGGAAATGTAAAGTGGTGTGATCACTTCGGAGAACGGCCATTTCTTTAAAAGTTAAACATATACCCACCCCATGATCCAGTCATTTCACTCCTCAGTATTTACCCAGGAGAAGAGAAAGCATACGTCTATACCAAGACTGGTATACAAATGTTCACAGCAACTTTATCTGTAATAGCCAAAAACTGGAAGGAAACAAACCAAACAAACTGGTGTTTCCATACAGTGGAATACCTCTCGGCAATACAAAGGAGTGAGCTATTCCTACGGCACACTCGGCAACGCGGGCAGACCTCAGTCACGCTGAGTGAGAGGGCTGCCTCCCCGCCCCCAAATAAGAGAGACGCACTGCACGGATCCATTCATATACAACTCTGGGAATGGAAACTAATCCACAGTGAAAGCGAGCAGACCGCGGGGGGCCTGGGATGAGGGAACTGCAGGAGCAATGGATGCGCTCATGATCTTGACTTTGCTGCTAGTTTTATAGCAGTATACATATGCCAAAACTTATCAAATTTTATACTTTATATAAGTGCAGTTTATTGTATGTCAAGTTACTCTCAATAAAGCTGAAAAAATATAGCATGGTCACCTTAATACACACTTTATATTTTTATCTAAACACAAATGAATAAAGACATTTTTAAAAGAAAGCATGAGAGGCCTCTCAAGGTGCCATCAGTGAGAATAATAAGGAAGGGTATAAGTCAGCTGAGCTGGGCGTTAGCCCCATTCTTGCTGCCAGCTAACTAGCTGTGACACTTTGGGTAAATGGCTTAACTTCTCAGGTGGCCTCAGTGTTTTCAGAATTATCCAATGACAAATTAGAACTCTGTTCTGTAAGGTCCCTTAGTGCTCCCAATTGAATAATGCTTCCGGGTGTGTAAGCGAGAAAGCTAATTTCTCTTCTCCTCTGTTGTAGATTTCCAGCGCACACAGTCAGCAGATGGACGACCTCTTTGATATCCTCATTAAGAGTGGAGGTAGGTCAAAGTCCTATCAGACCCCCAGCCACTTAGCACGAGTTTAGGAAAGCTCCTTAGAGCTCCCGGCACACCTTTGGGTAGTGAGAAACATACTCTTCTCAGTCTAACTGAATTTACTGTTTGAAAATCTGTTCAATTTAGGCCATTAAAACAACTTACTGCTACATGGAGGAAAAGCCATTGTTGCAGCTTAAAATAGTAAGATATGTATACCTGCTGAAAAAGACAGACCATCTCAAAATAGCCAAGTAGAATTAGATTTAAATTCCACATTGAAAAACTTCAAAACTTGTTCCATGTGTATCAGTCATTGTGATGGGATAAAAACATTCCAGTTCATGCCCTGATTTTGTAACGACTAAGTAACCTAGCCTGGGCTCTAATTATTAATATTCAAAGGCAATTCTAAAGCACCTTCTACATATGAAAACCTTACAGTGTATCACCTTAAAATGGGATATAAACCACAAAAAAAAACAAGGATATCTCTGCCTCAGCTTACATATCTTTAAAAATACATATAAAGTCAGTATTTCAGAAATTCAAATGCTATTTTGGAATATTTTAAAGTATTCTAAGATTTCCCAGATGAAAGTTTTATTCAACAGATTTTTAAATAGGGATCAGAATTTCTCCATTCATACCAGGTACTATTGGATTTTGAGGTTAATGATCTTGTCATAATGTTTAGATAACATAGAAAATTCTTGATATTTGACTGCAGATCTACATGTGCAAATAGCATTATTTTGCTAAGAACTATATTGGCCTTGCAAAATAATTTAAACTCATATCGAAACTATGGGAATTAAAGAAATAGACATTCATGCCCTGAATTTAGGATAGAAAAACCAAAATGCTTTTTAAAGACTTTTTTAAATGATTAAAAAACAATAATTTTTACAGCCTAAACTTGGAAATTAAAATGTGACAGTCATCAAACAATTGAGTTATTTTCTAAAAGGAATGATTTTTTTATGGCAAAGTATCGAATGAGTATATTATTTCATCTTATTGTATCCTAATACCAGTAATAATGAAAACAGAGGTTTAAATAGTTGATTATAAGACTACTTACTTAGATTTCACTTTCAGTTTTCAAAACAATTCTAGAGATGACTACAGATAATGAAAAGTGACTTAAACTGTCCTAAAAACACACAGGTGACAGTTCACATATAGGATTCAAATCGTAAGTTCTTTCTCTCACCTGTTTACACATTCTCGTCATTGAGTTGTAAGAGCTATCATTAAATTCCATTTTCTTAGTGTATCCGCAAATAAATTAAACCAATGAGATACTCATGAGAGTTAAAAAGATACTTTATTCAAATATATGTGGCTAAGTGAACACTGGTATATATAGTACCTGGTCCATTAACTTGCTACTTAATCTGGTAAGAAATAACACATAATTCGTGCTTATTAAGACATTTACCAAGTCCTCAAGTTTTATATAAACTCAAAAACCAAGACGAAAAAGAAAAATATGGTGATCCAACCTCATCTTAATTAAGACGGTCGAAGGAGCCACGTGTTAGCTGTAATTCACAAATGACATAAAATGGCATTGTATCTTTCCAGAACTTTATACAAAATGTATACAGCCAAATTGGGCACACAGTTCAACTATAATGATAAAAAAAGAAAAAATATAATTAGATCTGGGGCCGGCTCCATGGCTGAGTGGTTAAGTTAACATGCTCCATTTCGGTGGCCCAGGGTTTCACCGGTTCGGATCCTGGGCACAGACATGGCACCACTCATCAGGCCATGCTGAGGCGGTGTCCCACATGCCACAACTAGAAGGACTCACAAATAAAATATACAACTATGTACTGGGGGGCTTTGGGGTGAAGAAGAAGAAAAAAAAAAGAAGATTGGCAATAGATGGTAGCTCAAGGCCAATCTTAATATTATGAAAGACCTAATATATATATTTTTTAAGGATGTACTTCATGTCTGCACAAACTCAGGGTACACATTTTGACATTCACTTCAGAGGCGACATGCTGCTGTGATAGCAGATTTACCGTATAGGATTAGATATGAGCCCTATCTTAAGCCTAAAGTGACTAAGGATAAAGACCCAAAGATCAAATAATCTAAAACTGTGACTCCTACCTCGTGGGATATAGCTGCTTTTAATGCTTACTCTTACTAAAAAGAATTGAAAGCATATCAGAATGTTATAAACTTAAATGTTTATCTATTTAATTAAAACGATCTATCATCCTAAAGGTTATCAAGGATTATACCTGACCACTAGCATCTCTTCCTACCTCTAAGATAGACTGTCTACAAGTCATCACAAAATAGCGAAATAATTGTCCTCATAATTAACACAAGTTTCTAAGTAGTAGTAAATCTTTACTAATTACTTCAATTATTTTGCACAGAGATTTCCCTCCCTATAAAAGAAGAGCCTTCTCCTATTTCCAAAATGAGACCAGTGACAGCCAGCATCACCACAATGCCAGTCAACACAGTGGTGTCCCGGCCACCCCCCCAAGTCCAAATGGCACCACCCATATCCTTAGAACCTATGAGCAGTTTATCTGCCAGCTTAGAGAACCAACTAGAAGCTTTCTTGGATGGAACTTTACCCTCAGCCAATGAAATTGCTCCACTACAAAGCAGCAGTGAAGATAGAGAGCCCTTCTCTCTGATTGAGGATCTCCAGAACGATCTGCTGAGCCACGCAAGTGTGCTGGACCATTCTCACTCACCCATGGAAACTTCCGAGGCCCAGTTTGCTGCAAGTACTCCCTGCCTGTCACTTGACCTTTCTGACTCAAACTTGGACAACATGGAGTGGTTAGACATTACCATGCCTAACTCGTCGTCAGGACTCACTCCTCTCGGCGCCACTGCTCCAAGTATGTTCTCTGCCGACTTTCTAGACCCACAAGACCTACCACTGCCGTGGGACTAACATCACGCATTTCTCGTCTGAGAGTTCATGAGGTTTAAGAAGATGAAGATGATTCTAAAAGGTCAGTTTTTAGGGACAGATCCATAGTTGCATCATTGCAATTAAAATATGTTGTCACGGAAAGAATGGATGGACAGTCATAGCCTGGAAACCAAGTTTGAAAACATTTCACTGCATCCAGCAGTGAATGTCTACAATTCAGTATAGCACAGGGCCTTCTGAAAAATCTCTAGTCAGAGAAGACTCATCTGTTTCTCCAGACTTTGGTAAAGAATGACAAGTACCTTTAGATAAAAACATAAAGAAGAGTAGTGTGTGCAGGATAGCAATGTGAGGGTTCTCTGGTAATCAGCTGCATTTAAACCATCATGGTCACTTTAGACCTAGCATAAAAGAATGCCAGTGTGAGGGAGGTGAGAGGTCACTGCATGTGGTGTTTCCTAGACATGGTCTGAGCCTGGCCCAAGGTGCAGCAGGGGTCAGAGGCAGTGGAGAGCGCCAGCTGGCTCAGTGACAGCTTCCAGCTGAAGACTTTGGTTCCATTCAGAAACTAATGTAATTTTTTTGTGTTGTAGTTTATTTTGTGATTTTTGGAATCTTACTTTAGATTTCCAAATTTAAATTTAAATGGAAGGTCTTTCACCATAACCAGACAATGTCTACAAAATTCTGTCATAAACAATCCACTGTGAAAAGTCCAGGTATACTGATAACACTGAGAATTCTCCGAGCAGCCCTCTGGGTTGGTTAGAGCGATTTGTAATGTGTATATTAGACGTGTGTGTGTGTGTGTGCACTCTGACAGTGTGTTTTGTGCAGCCTACACTGGGGCAAGGCGTTGGGCATCCAGTGGTCCTGTTAATAACTCGAATATTTCTTGAGCACTTGAGCCACATGTATTTCCATGTTTAAAGAATTGCTGACTGACTTTCAGGTAACCAGACCCATCTCACAGAACCAAGAAAAGGCTTTAGCGTAAAATATCTTTCTGAGCTGGTGAGTTGCAAAGAGAAGGCAAAAGAGAAGTCTGTCATCAACCCAGGATGTTCCCATGTGGTTCCAGGTTAGACCGTGTCGCCAGGTTGGCCGCTGATCCCAGCTCTGGCTGTCCTCTTCTCTGTTGCTTATCCCTGGTTATTGCTTTACAGGCTTGTAACTGGATATCATACCTGAGCTCTCACTATATTATCAAGCCGAAGATTGAAAAACTGGAGGTTTTATTAGTAATTTTTTGTATAGAAGAAAAGTTGTCACATATTTGTTGAGTAGTTTAAGAATTTTCTAAATGCCAACTATGACAGGATTTCCAAAATTACTTCAAGCTAGTTATTTAAGTATATGACAAAATGTAAATAACTGAAAAAAAACCTGAAGTCTACCAAAAAGCATGGAGGTTTTTATTCGATAATATCATGCTCTCCACCTCACCTTGTGTAAACCCTAGGGCCAGGTTAACTTCTCGGGGTCATTAAATGGTGACTGTTCCCACAGTGACATGCAGGAGGCAACCTGACCCATTATCTGGGAAGACTTTACGCGTCATTCTGTGTGTGTGTGTTTTGCCTCAGAGCTGATCTCATTTCAGATTTGTATTTCGGTTTGTAAATTTTACAACATGTCAGAAAAGTCCATTTTCCCAGCATTCAGTCACCTCGAACACTGGAGCCCTCTGTGCGCTGGCACTTCCCAACGTGAACGAGCTCCTGGATGGTTCAGGGCACAGGCGGGCATGCTCAGTGAGGTCTGTAGTGAGTAGCTGAAGTGTTTAGAAGTTGGTGATCCCACAGAAACTCTCTCTTACCCAGTACGCTGCCATCTGACCAGGCCCAGCAGAGGGCTTGCCTTCTGGGCCGTGATGCGCATCCTTGAGTCGGTTCCTTTCAGACCGCCTGTCTCCTGCTGGGCTATTTACTTGGGAAGGTGCTTTCCATAGGGAGGGTCCTGGCCAGGGGTCTTTGTCTGGGGCGTGTCTGGTCCATGCGTAGACTCTGAGCGTCATTTGCATTCAGATTTGAGTGGCTTATTGCATCAGCGCTGCCTGTCAGTGGGACTGTAGGAGGCAACTCAGCAGCTAGTGCTGTTGACTCTTGTCGTATAACTTTCTATCTCCATCCTCCTGAGTTGTGTACATAGATGGTTTTCTAGCCCTCAACTCCCTTATTGCTTTTTTAAAATAGGGTTTGAAACATGCCACAGGAAGGTTGCTCTCCAAAAATACACACTGCCATGCAAAGAATGCCATCTCATTAGCCTGCTCTCTTGTGACTATGACTTGCTCAAGTGCTCGCTTCACGTATGTGTTCAAACCTTTTTGTACCAGCATTTCCTTTAAAAGGAAGGCATGGAGTTGCTAGTTATTAACTCTACCAGCCACCCACTCACACCATTCCGCTGGGCCCTCCTGTCCCGGCTTGAGCAGCAAGCCGGGCATCTGACATCGATGCTGCTCTCCAGGGTCCCAGCTACATGTTCCAGGTTAGAGTGAGAACACAGACTGTGTGCGGCATGTGACGTGACCAAAGATGACCCTCTTGTAATCAAGGCCCCTCTGACCTAACTCGGTGTCCATAATGGTAAGTGCAAAGGCAAGGGGGTGTGTTTACTAAGAGGACTGTGTTTATCGTTTGAGGTAAGTTTCACAGCCCTGAAAGCACAGGTCAGACGAGCCGGGTGGATTTTCGGCATGCACGTGTGTAGTTTAGAAGGGGTGCTGTCGTGGTCCATCACCTTGCAGAATATCATATTGCCAAGAAAACAACTAACTCCTAGAAACACACTCTCTCACATCCAGTCTTATTTCCTCAAATATTCCTGAAACACAGTAGTATCAAGCTGACCTTTCTAGTATCTACAGGTATCAGGTCATGTCATGGGTGGGTGAATAGAAAGTTATCCCAAAGCTTCTACACAGTCTCTGGGAGTCTGGGGGGTGGTCATCTTGTACATTTCAGCCAGGCCTGTGCTAGGAAGCCTCTTAGGACAGCGTTCGTGGTTCACGTGCTTGTGTTTTTCCTGAAATGTGCAATCTACTGTATAGCATTTGCCACATATTTGTATATAGATGTATTCTGAATTTGTGGAATTTCTTGCTTAGATACTATTTGTGTTTGTTTTATATGAATATTTTTATAATACTGAAGAGAGCTTATTTAAATTCCCTTTGTAAAGTCTGCACCGTTCTGCGATCCGTGTAGCTGGCGCTTCCGTGAGTGCAGCTTAAGACAGTGGCAGAGGCAGGCTGGCATTGCTTCCTGGCTGCCGCCTGTTGCAGGCAAAGTCACGGGAATCAGATAGGCCACTGAGCCGTGCAGTCAGCGGACACTGAGTGCTGCAGCAGGAGCGTGGTACCCATTTTGTCACCAAAGCTGACTCAGGCTTCCTCTCCCCTCAACCCCAGATCATTCCAGGCCACATAGGAGTCCCTTCGGAATTCCCAGGCTGAATCCAGCTGACGAAACAGCTGTCCCTGCAAGTGAGGGGACAGTCCCTCTCCTGTCCGCAAACAGACTTGGCCCTAGGGAAGTGCTCAAGCACTTGGCAGGGTCCCTACACAGCCTCACCTGTGTCGTGGGCCCCCCGAGTGGCTAGCCTCACCAGAGCCCCTGCTGTCAGGCAGGTGGGGAGGGTGTGGGCCGCTGAGGGCTTTTTAGAGAACTTTAGAGAGAACAGCTTTTCACTGTCCACCAGCAGAGCAACAAAGGTCCATTTACCAAACTCACAAATACCCTCCATCCCTCACCACTAACACGAATCCTGACTACTGCCAGCGGAGCCGAATACCCAACTGTCCCTGCCCCGGAGGCCACACATAGCCCAGGTCATCAGAACGGGAACTGGAAGGTCAGGGTCACCGAGGAGCCCGCTTACCAGTGAGGAGTGTGTCTTTGGAGAGCAGCCTGACTGCGTTTCAGTCAAAACTGGAAAATAACAACATTTAGTAATTCTTTCTCCTGGTCCAAACCTTCAGTAACTTGTTCATGCAACAATCTGTCCTGGCTGCATTTTCCTCTGTGAAGTGACTGCGTGGTAATAAGCAGGTCAGTGTTTTCCACGTACACCTTTTCTTGAAGCATTTGAGGAAATGCATCATTGCAAAGGGTTTCTACCTGACACCTTTGATTTGAGGCCTGTAATTCAAAAAGCTGCACATGTTTACAAAAGAGCTCTTACCCTCCACGTAAATACATTGCTCTGTGAATCATTATTGGAAAATGTCACCGTTTTGTGACAACAGGATGGCAATCTCAGATCTACAAGGTGCTGTCTGGAATCAAATAAAATGTCATTGGTGATATCCACACAGGTGTCGTGTTTAACAGAGCTTTGTGCCAACTACTAAGACAAAGCTTTAACCAAGTTCATAGAAGCACCGAGACTCATAACAATTACCTCTCTACGTTATGCTGTAAGGAAACCTGCTAATTGGTAGGAGGAGGAAGCAGTTAGAAGAGGGTTTAGTATCTACCAAAAGTACTTAACCTCAAGTAACCAATAGTAACACGAACTCGCTTTAAAGGAACCAAAGGCACTGCCAAGTATTTGCCAAAAGGAGGCACTTTTTATTTAAAATTTGAGACTAAAGAGATCTCAAAAATCAGTCCCAAAAAGGTATTATCCATTTAAGGTTATAATTTTCACAAAGATGTAGATATTTCTCTTGTTTTCATGTAAAATAGTATAGATTCGTTTTGTTGGCTTAAGAATAAAACATATTTAGTAGTACTACGAAGTTTTCTCCTTTCTGCGTATAAATTAGTTTTCTTTTCTTGCTTGCAATAGAAATGCAACGCGATAGGTGTTTCTCTTCTTATTTTCATTGTCACATTATGTCTTAGCATCTCACTTTATGAAAAAAAGGAGAAAGATACCAATCTACAGAGCCCTGCCTAGTAAAGCACTAGTTTAATAAACAAAAAATTATGGCAATCGGGGGTCCATTCATGTATTGCCTTTATGTTGTTTTTTAAAAGAAAAACCATGATGCCTTTGTATTTGCTGTTTGCACCCCTGAAATCAATTCCATATCATGTTTGAATGCCATACATTTTGCACATGTACTGTACATAGGTGATGCATACTGTATTTTTATATGTGTGCACCTTTATCATCAGATCTTTTGTACATAGTGGCAGTATTGTAGCTGATCGGGAAATGTTTGATATCTCAGCAATTTTGCATTTTTGTGTCTCAAATAAAAAACCGTTTTGATGTACTATGATTCTTGCTATGCAGAGAAAAGACCCCACCCTGTGGGTCGGGAGAGCCACTGCAGCCCGGGGCTGGGGGCGGATCTGGGAGGACACACCACCCGTAGGCCACACCTCACAGCGCACAGAACACGGGACCGCGAGCCCCCTCCCCCAGGTCCAGGACCACGGGAGACAGGATAGAAACAGGTACTGGCTGAACTTGAACATGACAAGATTTACACCCAAGTCCTGTTCCTTCTCCCACAGTCATAAGGAAACCGTGAGTGAAAGACATGATAAAGTATGTAGTTCCCCCAGGGGGTTGATATCTACATACACGCATGGGGACAACTGGCGCATGCTTCGATGGCAGTAAATGCACCGCCAACGGAATTCCTGAAACACCCAGACAATCCTTCAGTGTAGCCAAGTTGCAAAAGCAACTATTTATATGAGGCATTTTTATAGATCATACAGAATGGTCTTTAGCATTCAGTATTCCTTTAGTAAGATGGCATTTAATTTTCAACCCAAAAGCCCATTGTTAAAATAAGAGCTTTGAGCAGGAGAATGTTCTATTTTCCTCCTTTCTTTGATGAAGTAAAGTGGTAATGAGTAAAGTTGAGTGACAACCCTGACTTTCATACCAACATCTGGTTACGAAAATGGGCATTGTATCAATCACAGAAAGAGAGAAAAGAAAGATCACTGATGACCTAAATACAACAACACGGTCATCATCCGTGACATAAGGGGCCAGGAGAGCAGCCTCCACAGACCATAAGTGGACGGTCCTTCCAAGGGGCTAAGACCTTTGTGACACCACACGCTACCAGCCAAGATCCGGCCCTCGGGGAGAGGGAACATGGACATTAACTACTCTTGGGAGAGAAAGTGCGGTCAGAGGGCACAGAGTGCCCCAGGCATTCTAAGGAGCGAGCAGGGGATGGCTGGGAGCTTGAGGGAAGGTGCAAAGAAGAGATGGTGTTTGGACATGGCAAGCGAGAAAACTGCTTGGGCAAGGTCAGAGTTCACAAGAGACTTTGGTTGAGGCCCTGCTGCGTGCCAGGCTGTGGGCTAGATGCTGGAGTTTAGCTGTGGGACAGAATCCAGGCAGGACGTGCTGAGGACGTCTGGAAAGGCAGGAGACAGCGGGGCATTAAAGATCCCAGTCCTCGAAGGGTTTAAGAATCTTCGGTAGATAATTGTTGTCTTTGGGTAATACAGGGCCTTCCAAAAGTTATTCAGACGTGCAACACATCACCATTTAGCATCTTTATAATCCTCTACAGCACATTTGCTGTAGAACTGAGGTGAATGCTAAAGCGTTCGTAAATGCAGATGCACCCACACACAGTGATGGCTGGAAACGAATGCCAGCTAGTCCACATTACCGTGAAACACCAGCATTGAGCCCAGAGAAGACCAACTTCAGGACAGACGTAAACTACATGTCACCAACAGTTTTATGTGCCCCATAATCCTCCTGAGGATTTCTCAAGTCAACTAATGACCATTCCTTCACCCCTCCTTCCGCAAATAGCTTCATTTCTGATAGATAGTCACTTTCTGAAAGAAACTTCATCTTGACATCTGGGCTATCTTTTCTGCTAATGTATGTGACGTTTTAAAAATAAAGCCCACATTTTATAATTAGACAAAAAACACGGTCACTTATCAACTGTTTGAATGCCCCTCTTGGATATGATTGTGTGACACATCATTCCAGGAGGAAACCACTGACGATGGCCCTTCGTGTGGTAACTCCACTGTGCTCACCCCCACTATGCTGCATGGCCAGGACACTCAAACAGGAAACTCAAACCCAAAGGAGGTGTTGTCCCGTCCAAAGCTGAAGTCTGATTGATGGTGACGGGGGGGCTTTTATTCAGGTGGATAGTTAAGAATTTAAAGTGTTTCCATCAAAGACTCAAATAGAGGCCTTCGAGAGCTTTCTTTGCTGTGTTTTCTCACCCACAGCTGGATGGAGTCCAAAGCAAAATGGCAACAAAGCTGTCTGCACATGAAGGTCTCAAGACACAGAGTAAAGTTAGAGTGGTTTTGTCACAATACTTTGAGCACAAGAAAAGGTCTGCAAATCTGTTTAAACAAGTAGCCTTATTTTCTTTACTTAAATTATGTCTGTTAGGCAACTTGCAAAGTTGACCAGGACATCACATTCACTAGACATATAGAACCTACAACAGGGAGACCAAAAAACGGGCTACGACCAAATGCACTCACCTTTCCCCTCGCTCCTGGTTCACAGCGTCGAGGAACGGGAATGCAACTGGAGACGAGATGACAGTAAGAGCAGTATTACCTGCTGCCAGATGCCAGGCCCTGTGCCAACCACTTTCCATGCATAACCTCATCTAACCATCCGTCTATGAGCTAGGAATGCTTACCATCCCCATTTTACAGATGTGGCAACTACAGACAGAGAGGGGAAATGACTTGCTCGAAATCACAAAGGAAGCAGAGGTGGATTTCAAACCAAGCTTCTGACACCCCAGAATCCACACCATGTCTGCAGACTCAGTACATATAACTGTCCATCTCTGTTCGGACACATTCCAAATCCATGTGATTATAGCTGACTTTATTCACGTTAATCGTGAGATTCACTCCAACTGGTTTCTCTCGAGTCTCCTCAATGTCACACACTTTACAAAGTAACTACTCATAAAGACGGTTAATGGCATCCACTGTACGGCTTTTACTAGGTGACCTCCAACCAGAATTGTGGTTGCAAGACCAGGGCATCTTAAATGAACCCCAGTGACTAGGCCACACCCAATGACTCATTATGAAACACTGCCTATCTAGGCTGGGGCTTCCGTAGCCACTTGAGCACATCCAAAGCCCAAGAGTTATTGAACGATTCTACAATGTCGAGTAAAGTTGAAGGTACAAACCCTGTGACTCAGCAACTCAACTTTTTGGGTGAACCTCCTTGAGAAACACCAATCTACACAGGCAGTTACATGCAAGAATTAACACTAAGGCATTATTTACAAAGCAAACACTGAAAACAACCTGTGTGCCTTTCATTTGGAGAATGTTTAAAGATAGCAATTTACATAAATGAGCTAAATCTAATGTGTCGATGTGAAAGAACCTCAAAATAAAGTGCTGAGGGGAAGAACAGTGTCGAATGAAGCCTACATAATTCAAGTAACACTTTAAAACAATAATGCTGTGTATTTTTCTGTATATAAAGATATAAAAACATGGGTGGTAAGGACTCACGTCAATATCAAGATTCAAGATACTTCTGGAAAGAAAAGTAATTAAGAAAAGAAAGAAAACTAAGAAAAAAAGGACTGTGGAGGGTGTAGAGTTTAATTAATACTGAATATTCCTTTCATTTCTCCTTCTATATTTTATTTATTTAATAATTCTATATCCATCTGGCAAAATATTAAATTTGTTTACTGGCAATTGATTTCTTTATCCTCCCTCATTCTTTTCTGTAAGTTGGAAATATATTATGTAAAAAAAAGATTCATTTAAAAATAAAAAGAGGGCCCGGCCCCGTGGCCGAGTGGTTAAGTTCGCGCGCTCTGCTTCGGTGGCCCAGGGTTTCACCAGTTCGGATCCTGGGTGCGGACATGGCAACGCTCATCAGGCCACGCTGAGGCAGCGTCCCACATGCCACAACTAGAAGGACCACAACTAAAATATACAACTATGTACTGGGGGGATTTGGGGAGAAAAAGCAATAAAAAAATAAATAAAATTTTAAAAATAAAAAAAAAAGAATTACAAGGGAATACCATAAAGAACTGCATGCCAATAAATTAGTTAAGTTAGATTAAATAGACAAATTCCTAGAAAGACACAAACTACAAAAAATTGACTCAAGAAGAAATCGAAAATATAACTAGAAACTGAATTAATAATTTAAAGAACTACCAACAAAGAAGAGCCCAGTCCCAGACAGCTTCACTAGCAAATTCTACCAAACATTTAAAAAAGAATTAATGCCAATTTTTCACTAACTCTTTGAAAAAATAGAATAGGAGAGAACACTGTCCAACTCATCTCACTAGGCTAGTATTATCCTGATATCAACACAGACAAAGATAATTGCAAGAAAAAAAAAAAACAGACCATGGGGCCAGCACAGTGGCACAGCAGTTAAGTTTGCACACTCTGCTTCAGCGGCCCAGGGTTTGCCAGTTCAGATCCCAGACACAGACCTACACACCACTTGTCAAGCCATGCTGTGGTGGGCGTTGCACATATAAAATAGAGGAAGATGGGCACATATGTTTGCTCAGGGCCAGTCTTCCTCAGCAAAAAGAGGAGGATTGGCAGTAGTTAGCTCAGGACTAATCTTCCTCAAAAAAAAAAAAAAAAAAAAAAACCAGACCAAAATCCTAGATAAAATTCTATCAAACCAAATCCAGCAACACATAAAAAGTATAAACACCATAACTAAGTGGAGTTTATCCCAGGAATGCAAAGCTGTTCTAACACCTGAAAATCAATTAATGTAATACACTATATCAACAATAATGTACAAAAGGTACACAATCATTCCAATAGATGCAGGAAAGCAGTTGACAAAATTCAACACCCCTTCATCAAATCACAACCTGTAGTAGATACACAAAAGATAAACAGAAAGGCATCAAAGCATACCAAGACATAAAAATCATCAAATCACAAAGGAAGATAAGAAGAAAAGAACAAAAGAGCTGCATAACATTCAGAAAACAATGTTTAAAATGACAACAGTAAGTCCTTATCAGTAATTACTTTAAATGGATTAAATTCTCTACATCAAAAGACACAGGGTGGCTAAAAGGATTAAAAAACAAGATCCATCAATATGCTTCCTCCGAGAGACTCACGTTAGCTTTCAGGACGCAGACAGGGCAGGCTGAAAGTGAAAGGATGGAAAAAGATATTCCATGCAAATAGTAACCAAAAGAGAGCGAGGGGGACACTCAGATCAGACAAAGCAGACTTTTAGTCAAAATCTGTCAGGAGAGATAAGGAAGGTCACTGTCTAA